AACAAAAAAAGCACTGTCAAGAAGCAGCAAAAAATATATAATTCTCACATAAAAGTTTTTTTAGTATTCGACACGTTTCATCTCTCACTTCCTGGAAACAAGCCACATGATGACCAGGGTTCTTTGTTTTAAGTGTTTATTTCTTGCGGATGTACCTTCCTTTAAAATTATAGCGAACAGTAACTAAAACATCAACATTCCTTATATAATGCAGTGATGTTTGTTGATAGTGATAGGGGGTTGAAATATTTTTCATACATAGCTAAAAGGAGATTCGTTTTACTACCTGACTCGTGTGGCTTTGTTTTTGTTTTTTAAATGTGCGTCATCAATAAAAGGCTTATTCAGGCAACGAAATGAAAACTAATTAATAACTTCCTTTTAAACTAATTCAAAAATGAATCAGCTCAACATCTGTTAAGAGGCAGGTAGACCAACAAAAGATATAAAACGAAATCGAAGAACCATAATAATGATCGCTGCTACTCTACATGCAGGAATCGCCTCGATCGTTGTGTCAAATTCTATACATATATATACTGAGAGTAAAAATGTATAAACATTTAAGTTCACTACTACAGAGATCCACTTTCTTCTGTTTCAGATAAAATAATAAAAAAATAAACAAAGAAATAAAAGCAAGGTAAGAATGAAAACTGTCTGATTGTGGAAGCAGATAACAAGGAGAAACGAAAACAGATGGTTTATGCAAGTGAATGCAGGTGAGATCAGTTATGCTAGTCTTATGTGACAAGAGGGTATGAGTGTGACTAGCTGAGAGAGAATAAAAAGAGGGTGAGCTAAGCATTATAAGCAGTAAATCACTTACATAACTTATAATGGCAAGTTTACTTTCGTAATGATAAACTACAGTACAAGGAAACTTATTTTTAATTACATGTAAAACCAGTTACATTCTTTCAAAGTATTATTTGTGTCCCTTGGTGAATTAGCCAGCGGTAAGTTTAAAATCTTCAAACGCTAAAATCAGAGCGCAGATAGACCACTTTACTCTAAAATGCCAATTACTACAGAATTATTTGTAATGTATGGATAACTTACACCTTTGTATTTGTGTTTTGTATTTACTGATAAGATGTGTAACAAATTAAACTGAAAGTTTGTTTGTTTGTTTTGAATTTCGCGCAAAGCTACACGAGAAACATGCTCGCCCTTTCAGCCGTGGGGGCGTTATAATGTGACGGCCAATCCTACTATTCGTTGGTAAAAGAGTAGCCCAAGAGTTGGCGGTGGGTGGTGATGACTAGCTGCCTTCCCTCTAGTCTTACACTGCTAAATTAGGGACGGTTAGCGCAGATACCCGGTGTGACAGGGATTCGAACCCGCGACCCTCAGATTGCGAGTCGAGTGCCTTAACCACCTGGCCATGCCGGGCCCGTGACTTTAGTGATTAAGTGGAATTACATATGGCAATTCTGTTCAATGTGAATCTTCTTGTAGTTAAAAGCAAATTTATGATGCGTAGGAGAAACTTCTTGCCATAAATAAGGAATTAAATATTATATTTGGGCTAATTATCCATAAATCTACTCCTGTTATAAGTGTTGGTTAAAATGTTATGGGTTGAATGATATATATATATATATATACAGAAACGAAGGTAATAATGGATTAAATTTGAGATGGTTTTAAGTCTTTATAAATTTAATCAATTACTTAAAACTACAGTTTTTTGTTGCTTTGAAAGTGTTATTTTCAAAAATTTAATACAAAACATAAATCAATGAATTTTTAATTTCTACTTGATTATATACAGCTCTGAAAAGTTCTTAATTATAAATTTGAAATCCAATTCATCACAGAATAAATCACAGGTCTGTAAAACACAAAAAGGTGAAATTTTATATATGTTGTGTATATTTTAATTCTGCTGTAAACATCTTGTCCTGGCCACCACCTTCTATAGATCAAAAATAATTAGTCTTATTTAGTCTCAAAATAAAGAAATTAAATACTTGATCCTCACATTAATAAATGTTTTCTGCAAACAAAAATTTGTATTTTCTAGGTGTTCAAAACAGTATTTAACTGTAGAGGCCTAACTTTGATTTAACAAGTTCATTCTTTTAGCTTTTAATAATCTTAATAACTATTGTTCTAAACAAATTTCCAAGATTTTTAAACTATTTTTATACAAACCATACAACTCATACATATGTGATGTAACTGCTTAATTTAACATTCTGATAAGCTATCACTATTGCAGCAAATGAACTTACTGTAGTATTTTGCTTGTGCCTAGCCACACTTAAAATGTAAGTGATGCAATGAATCTATTAACTGATACACATTCTAAAAAATGTTTCTATACATTTCACTTTATCCTATGTTTTGGAAAATTCTTCTAATTAGTTACCAAAAATAGGGATATGCAGATTAAATGGTTAAATAGTAAGTGGTTGGTTTGACAGCTATAAAACAATTGGATTTAGCAATTATTATCAAAATACTAGACCAATTATTAAAGACAATGGTGAATTATGAATCCTTTCATGACTAAAAATTTAATAAAGAATTGACAAGGCAAAATATTTTTATTTAATTCCTGTTCTCATTTCTCAAGTCTCCTACGAATCTGCAGTTAATTATAGCTGTTCACTATGCTGTACATTATATATTGAAAGTTTGAAAATGGTCACAAAAAAAAAGTGAATATGAGATGGGCATGGAAGAGAAAGACAGTATTTCTATGGATGATAGGATAATTGGTTGAATTTTAGATATTCAGCTCCCAATACCAGATTAATTTCCATTATTTTCAGAACAATAGTAGATGAGGACATACGTATTGAAAACAGACTGCAGGCATGAGCCACTGCTTCATTATAGTATAGTAATAAACTAGTTACTTTGTCATTGTTTTTTTAAATTTAATAAAGATGTACATGGGGATATACAGTTCCATATAAGTGAGTAACCATTTCAAGTCCTTTAAGGAAATACAGCACGTGGTAGTGTGAGACAGTACTATACAACCCTAATTCCCCACTGAATGTTATTTGGATTGTGCTTGCAACTGCTATCTCTGCAAATACTGTGGAATACACTGGAAACACAACAGGTGGGGATGTCCAATACAATCATGGTGGGAATTTAGGTTAAAATGTATTTCATTCCCCTCAGAGAATGAAATATAACCAGGGGCAGTCATAAACTTCGGTTTCTCTTCACCCCGCTGAGTGATTAAGGTATTAAGTGACACCTAACTTTAAGAATATGAGATTCCCATGAAAAATAAGAATTTTGAAATTACTTTAACTAGAGAGTGCCACAAGATAGCCAGAGAAGCTGCGAGGAGACTCAGAAACAAGGCAAAGGTAGGAGAGCTTCTTGGTGAATTATGTTGTGTCATGAAGAATGGTCTGCTGGAACATGGAGGTGAAGATGTGCATTTGTTGATCCACATGGTGGTGACATTAGTCAACGTGAGTTGTCATAGATCTGTTGCAGTGGAGAACATAACTGAGCAGGGAAATGCAGATCGAGCACGTCCATCTCATTTAGAAATACTTGACATATATTGCAGTATTAGTATTTAGTTTTAATTCTATTGTTTGATTTAATACGACTGATTTATAAACGATTATTTGGCTTAAGGTATTGAATATTTATTTTGAACATACTATGAAAAAGGCTGGGATCCATGGATCCTAATTTATTGAATATTGTTGTGTGGATGATCTTTATTTAAGCTAGATAAAGATTATTTGTATTATGACTCACAGGACTCTTCGATACCAGGGATAATGTTAGTACAAAGTACCAGGAGTAGATGATGCTATACCTATTACGTGTGATGCACATACAAATAGTATCATGCCAGTGTAATGCTATAAGAAATTCATTGATGGAAATGCTATTTGACTACCCAATTTATCACAAAATTAATATCCAATGGAATAGGGTATTTGTCCCATCCCTAATCATTTTCATTCGAGAAAACTCAAACCTATGATAGTGCTGAACAGACTAACCATTATCGTTATTTTTTTTTGTAACTATTGGGCCTAATGCTGGAAGGAGTTTGGTAATTCTGTTAATATTAACAAAGTAAATCCTTAGGTCTCCATCCTAGTATTCCGTATGTTATTTTCTGTTGATTCACTATGGCATTAATATATTGCTTTCATATTTCTGAAAATACAAAAATATTTTCAACAAAATATGTTTATACCAAATGTTTACATATATGTGAAGGGATCTGGCAAATTTTTGCAGCAGAAAGTAAAATTAATTCTAAAATAATTATATTTAGAAACTAATTATTCCAGACCTATGAATCATCATGGCAGTTACAAAGACTGAATAATATTGTGAGTGTGACATTACATTATACATGTCATTATTAAATATTGTTACAACAACGGACGTCACGTGACACTGGTAACACGTCATGAGATTCTTGCCTTTTCCTGGCAACTCTAGTCTTTTCTAGGTGCCCTCTATTTTAGTATATAAGCCCGGCAAATAAAGCAGAGCAATGAATGGCAGATAGACAGATATTGAGACAGATAATTAAGTCAAGTGAGCGGTAGTGACCGTAAGTAAAGTGTGTGAATCGTTGTGAATTATAGCGTGTGTTTAAGTTAAAGTGACTGTGGAAATTCTGTGTATTGCAAAGTTGTATTGAGGAAGAATGGCAAATAGACAGATATTGAGACAGATAATTAAGTCAAGTGAGCAGTAGTGACCGTAAGTAAAGTGTGTGAATCGTTGTGAATTATAGCGTGTGTTGAAGTTAAAGTGACTGTGGAAATTCTGTGTATTGCAAAGTTGTATTGAGGAAGAATAAACTAGTTTTATTTAAGAAAGGACTGGTATCACTGACGTTCCTTGGGAAGAATTTATACCGGAAATTAACAAACAAGTAGATACGTAACAGTATTATGCTCCACCAGCTAAGAGTGTTCTATTGACAACCAATTAATCAGTATTCCTTCTGACACATCCTTAAACAAGAAAGTAAATTAAGCTAATACTTATCACAAAAGAATAATAATTTTATTTAGACATTTTTCAAAACTGTATAAGACACAAAGGAACTGTTGTTTAGATAAAATATAAAACAATGGGTACAGATCTAATATTACACCAAAAATGTATGTTTCAAAACTCTAGATGCTAACGGGATGAACTGGAGCTTGATTTCTCTGTACGCCTTCTACGAACTGGAGATCTTGATCTAGATCGTCTTCTAATTGGGGAACGATGCCTAGGAGGTGATCTGTAAATATATTATAAACTTGTTGGCTAAGAATTTATGATTGGATTTTAAATAGAAAATTGTAAATAACATATTATTTTCAAAAGTTTAAAAACATTTTTGACACTTATTGGATATCTAGTGTGAAACTGAGTGAAGGATATAAGCTGTATTGAAAGTTTTATTAAACTATAACTTAAATTATACAATAAACAAATGTTACTTACCTACGACGATTGCGTACACGAGGAGGTGGGGAGCGTCTCCAAGGTAGGGGTGGACCTCTACGAGGTGGAGTTGGTGGCCTAGGAGGAGGAGGTCGAGGTTTAGGTATTAAAACAGGTGCTGCTGTAACTTCTTGCCCATCTATTTGTCCTAGAACATTTAAAAAATTATTAATCAAATAACTGTTCTTTAATATCAAACACATAACAAACTGGTCCATACATAAACATTTTACTAGAATATTGGTATTAAAATTCTTCATTTGTATGCTTAAGATCAGAGCAGTTGTTACTGAACAATAAAAATCTAACTCATATTAATTAAAGAAAAACTTGAAAAAAGTTTATCAGGCATTTCCAATTTGTCCAACTCTAATCATATCTAAAGCTAAAAGCTCCCAAATTACCAAGCATGAAAAAGTTAGCATTTTTCTACACTGAAAACTTATTTTCAACAGACACTTACATATGCTCACATATTAGATTTTCCTGATTTTGTGCTGCCCTCTATATGCACAATTTTTTTGCTTACCAATAGCCTGGCTCCCACCTAAACTCACTTGTTTCTAAATGCTATTACTGCACTGTAGCATACAAAAACCCTCCTAGCACAGCTGACTCCCTCTATACTAATTGTTCAATCATCACTTCAAGATTAGGCAAGAAAAGAAGCACTGGAAGTGAGGAGGATGGGTGGGAAATATGAGAAGAGGTAAGTATCTATCAGAAATACATTTTCAGTTTTGAAAAATGTTAACTTCCAATAAAATACCTTAACTTTGCTCACACATTAGCTAGAATAACACATTGAAGTGGAGGAGATACTGGTGCAAAATTGACCTAGAAGAACCCATGAAGCATGACACCCGACTTCATGAAAAGTGTGGGGGCACATCCATGGGAGACCACACTTCTTCTGTACCAAGGTATACTCTTTGCCCATAATGAAGATAGGTGTCATCAAGTCGAGCAGAAAACAAGCACAGTCCAGAATCTGGGTATAGAACATGAATGTGCCATATGGTGTAGTTTGGCTAGGGCACGTCAGACTGTAGGTGGTGGATCAACTCCAGTCCAAAACCAGGCAGTATCAGTAGGAAGAGGGTTCCAACCATCTTCACCTTCATACCAAAAAGCAGGAAAAAAAATGAATTTCCATTATTCTATCCTAGGTAGCGCCCATGTGTGCTGACCCTTCACACACACAACTCCAGGCCACCCAGGAACCTGATATCCGGACAATGGTAGAATGGGGGAAAGCATATATGATGGGTCCAAAACCTGGCAGTGTCAGGAATTTTTCATCCAGTCTGCAGTAGGAACAGGGCCCCTATCAACCACATAAGTGAAGACTTGTGTTGGCTAATCCTGCATATACCCAACACCAGACCACCAAGGAAATTACATCTAGGCAGTGGTAGGATGGGGGAAACTCATTATTTAATTTCTGTACTGCATATTGGTGTATAGAACACATTTTAAGACCATAAATAAATGCCCTTATAACACCAAAATGCTGTTTTTATTTAATTAAACACTCAATGTTTCACTTTACAGCTTCTTCAGGAGCATTCACTAAAACACACGTTTCACTTTACAGCTTCTTCAGGAGTGTTTCGGTTTGTGTTTTAGTGAATGTTCCTGAGAAAGCTGTAAAGCAAAACTTTTAGTATCTAATTAAATAAAACCAAGATTTTGGTGTTATAAGGTGGCTTATTTCTAGTATTATGATGGGGAAATGCCAGTCAGAAGGATAAACTGTATATGGTTGGTCACCTCCAGTCCAAAACCAGGCAGCATCAGAAGTGTTTTGTCTGTTCTGCAGTAGAAGAAAAGTTCATACCATCTACACCAACAGAACACCACTGCCACACTCTCAATTGAGTGGAACTGTCACACTCAGGATGAAGCCTCCATGGTCTATTACCCCAGTGGCTAGGAACTGGTGAGTGGTAAGAACTCCCATACCCCACTCGAAAAAGGGGATGAAAGCAAGTTGGGGTGTGTGGAAGAATGGAACACCTTAAGATGGTGTAATGAGTGAACACAAAATCCTATTTTGAAAAGCAGACGAGTCCCAATTTATTCAACTAGGACCAGAGGAATAGGTAGCCATCCTGACACTGCTTTACTCATGATAGTCCATGAGTAGGTACGGTCTGGATCGGACCTTCTTTAGCAAATAATATACCATGAGGAAACCTCTAACAATCTTGTGGAACACTCCATTTCGTCAATAAGCATTACAGACCTTAATGCCATTGTGGTGCGAAGTTAAATATAATATATACCTTGGCAGGCACCTCATGCCACTAAGATAATCAGGATCAGAACAACAATAAAGGCAAGAAATGGACAGAAGGGAGATAAGAGTGAACATGCTGTCACTCTTACAAGTTGCAGACATTTTTTGAGAGAAAAGCACAGTCAAGATAAAGAAGAATATAAGAATGATGGAATAGAACACAGAGCATCATTGGCATATACGTCAGATCTCCCAATGGCCACAGGCACAAAAAAAATATGAAATGGGTTTTACGTGAAAGATCATATAATGAAAAAGAGGCCAAAGGTTGAAAGGGAGGAAGGGTAAGGGTGTGAAGAATAACATTCAGGTCCCAATCAGGCAGGATATGAAGGTGAAAATAATGAAAGAGTACAGAAAGAAATGGCAAGGAGAAGACTTGCTTAAAGTGGAAAAATAGGAAAGTATTTAATAGTGCTGCCCTGTAGCCAGCAATGGTTGAAAGCAATAAACCTTATGTTGGACAGCCAAGTGAAAAATTCAGAAAGATGCAGGAGAGAAGACCAAGAAAGGGAACAGCCACGATGCATAACCCAACTATGGAATATGTGCCATTTTCATTAATAGACAAGGAGGGAAGAAGAATAAACAGAATGAGAAAAAAAGGAAGGTTACATGTGAAGAGAGTCCAGAGCATCTCACAAAGGACTGGACAAAATCCATATGGAAGACAGAATGTTGATACCACCAGATGTGAGAGGGAAGATCAAGGTTAACAGAATAAGGATCATGACAGAGGTAGAGGAAGAGAAGATCAGAAAAGCTTCAATAAAGGAAACCATGGCTGAGCCAACAAGTACAGAACAATAAAGAGTACTTGACATGAAGTGGTCTTAATAAGGGAAAACACACAAGAGTGAAGAATAGGAGGGTAGGTGTAAAGAAAAAGGCTGGACCAGTCATGACTGAATGCATTCACAGTCAGAGCTGCAAAATGAGGAACAGGAAAAGTTTGATGTTGAGATGAGTGGCAAAAGCACCCACAAGAGGAGTGTACAGCAGCCTGAACACCAAAAGATCAAGATACCACTCCATAGGTAGTATCTTGTCAGGTCATGAGAGCTGATCTGCTACAAGATTCAGGGCACCCTGGATATGACAAGCAATAAAATGTACTTGCAAAGAATGGGCCCAGAAAAGTAAGTATACAGTGTGAAAACAGAGAATGAGACCTGGTGCCCCCTGATGATTGATATAAGAAACAACAGTAGAGTTGTCAGTATGGATCATTATTAGACATCCACGAACCATAAAAAGAAAATTATCCAAATCTTGAAATAATGCTAACAGTTCCAAGAGACTGATATAAAGGGATGATTCATCATGTGACAACAGACCTGAAATCTCTTGCAAGTCCAAACATATCCCCACCCCATTATGGATGCATCTATAAACAAATGGAGGTCAAGATGAGATGGAGGAAGAGGAACACCTGCTGTGGTATTAGCTTTGTCAAGCCACCAAGCAAAGGCAACTTGTAGGGAAAGAGTAAGTGAATGGTGGAGGACAAGGGTTCCTAAAAAGAGATAGAATCTCCCACACAGTGAAGTAGAGGAGGATATGACATTGGAAACCAAGTTTTTATTTCCCTGAAATGAAGTGGAAGAAGGCTGAGTCCTACTGACTGAGAAGTGAACTGAATGTGATATTTAGTGGGTGTGAGATGCAATGTCTCCAGTTTGACCAACAAACCTAGATACGCTGAGTCTTGATGGAGGAGAAGAGTATGGTCATAGGAGGCTTGTTGGGACAAAGCCAAAAGAAGCCAGCTGTCCATATAATAGCAAAAGGCTTTGAATGTGAAGGGCAAAAGCATTGACATCCCAACAGAAAATGTACGGTGCTGAAGGGTAGAGCACAGCATTCAAACATCTGAAGAAGGTAGAAAAACCCATTCAATAGCATCTTTCGCTAAGAGTTCTAATACTGCTTCAGACAGACACTGGAAACAAACCAGGTCCCATGGAAAAGGAAAAGAGATGAGAAAGGAAAACTGAGGAAGAAGAGAGAAAAAACGAAGAGTCAGCCCCTCTCAAATGGGTGTCAAAGGTCTGCAAATCAGGCCAATCAGGCCTCCACCATGCCAAAAAGTAAGGGATAGTCACTGCCGATATTGATGGTACTGAAGACGATGGTGAGAGTAATGTCAGATCACAGCAGAAATACAAGAAGGGAGAGGAAAGGAAACTAGAGGATGAGAAACAGTAATAGGTTTAGAAGAGGTTTGCGATAGATGGGAAATCAGACAAGAAATGGAGGAGTGTTGGCATGTAGCCTCCACACAAGATTCCAGTGAATTCGGGACTCATCGATAAACAGACTGGGAAAGGAAAAGAGCCAGACAAAGATCCTGGAAATAAGACGCAGGCAAATGCACTTGAGAAAATAGGGAGTCCCTGCTTAATAAGTCTCAAAAATAAATCAACCATGTATGAAGATATAAAGCAGAAGAAGATAAATGAGCCATTGTAGAATAGACAACAGAACAAGTATCCATCGAAAAACCCTCAGGTGAATGGTGGATAGCCTCAGAAAGCTGTTAGATTGAAGAGAGATATCACAGTAGAGTAGTAAGAATAAGACAAAGATAGAAGAATTGGGCTGGGGAAAGAAAAAGTGATGAGAAAGGACCTGACCACCATGCCTAAATAAAAGACTCCAAAGTCTGTGAGTAGAGAAAGGTAAACTCAGCCTGATGATAGGCTAAGGCACGTGTATCTGCCAAATGAGAAGGATAAGACATGCTGGCTCCAGCATGAAGATGAGAGAAGAATTGATCAGTGTGGACTTGAATATCAGGAGAAAGGGAAAAACAAAATAATCAGTAGCAAAGCCAGAATGCAGCAGGGAAGTGGAAGAATCATAAGACACAGGACAAAGGAACAAAAGGTAGAACAACTAAGAAACCATATCCACGAAGGACAAGGTAGATCAATGGCATTGAATTGAGAAGGTGCAGCAAAAGCAGACTGGAGGGAAAAGGCTTTCAAAATCAGTCCTCATAGACGGAATCAGAGAGAAGGGAATATCTGTCCGCAGGTCAGAAGACAGATCAGGCTGCATGTAGGACTCAATATACTATGGCTGACACATCCTGACAGACAAAGAGGAGCCTGAAGCCATAGTTGTAATCTGTCTAGCATGAATAAGATCATGTGGATCAACTCTAGATGAAGTAGTAGTAACATGAACCTGTGAGTTCATAATGTGGAAAGGAAGCAAAAGCAATCAAAATAATCCTTCCAAGACAAAGACAACAACAAAAATGTTGTCAGTAAATAAAGTATAAATCAATGGCACAAGCAAAAAAAATATGCAAGTTCCAAATCAAGAAGAGATGATTGAACAATCAGTACAGAGGGAATCAGCTGCACCAGGAGGGTGTGTTGTACTCCTATCAGTGGAGTGTTGTTGCATGAGCATTTGCATGCTACAGTGCTACAGTTTATAAAAACATGCAAGTTTAGGTGGGAGCAAGGCTAGTAGAAAGTGAAAAAAATGCACATATAGAGGGCAGCACAAAATTTGGAAAAGCCAATATGTGAGTAGAGGTAAAGTAACATAGTGGAAACACTATTTAACATCACTTAAGTACAGACAACAGGATATTAGATATTTTCTTATATGTAATTTCAGTTTCTCTTATTACCCCCATCCATGTACTTCATTGCTTTTTCAGCTTCATCTGGCTTCTCAAACTCAATGTAAGCAAATCCTCTGGTTATGTTGCTGTTTGGTCGAACTTTTGGCATGTCTACATTTTTTATAGTGCCATACGTGCTAAATATTTCCATTACATGCTCTTTAGTGATGTTTTTGGTGAGTCTACCCACATGAATCTTTGTTGGCCGAGGAGTGGGACTTTGTTTCCTTCTTCGTGGAGATGGTGACCTAGAATATAGATGCCACGTAAATCATGTCAGTTTCTCATTAATTGATGTTTACATTTTTTTTAAATAGTAATAAACAATAAATTAAAAACTATACAAATTTTAACACTCGTAAACTTTATATACATTTGCAATTAGAATTCCGACACTTTATAACTTTCAATCTTTTTAATATATAAGCATGAACTAGAAACCCTGCCTTTGGGTTAAGATAGCTGGTTATACATACAATAATCATCACACACAATGATGTAACATATCCAACCTTAAGACACCACTTACTGAGAACTTGCACAAATTTATAAAAGCAATTTCTGTAAAAGATGGCTGTATGTTTTTTAAAAGCTTTAAGTAAATGTATTAATTATCTAACTTATATAAAAAGCCAGTTTGTACCACATCACGTTTGATTTCTTGAAATTGGAGGAGTCATAAAAGCCAAAATGTATTTATCCAGATAGAATAGTTTAATTACTGCCTGCTTATTACAATTTTAGTGATGGATGTGCAAGGGGTCCATGAGGGGTGCCATGAAATATAATAAGTGTAGTGAGTGTTGGTATAATAAGCCTAGAGTAAAGATGTAGTGTGGGATCATCTAGCCTAGAGCCAAGTTCATAAAATTTATCATGAAAGCAAAAATATTGATTCAATTTTCAACTTAAATCTTTTCTGAATTAAGCTATTTTCTGTTATATCACCAATGATTTTAATAAAAAACAAACCTCTTCAATCAATGGAGACTCTAAATTAAGAAATCAACAAACATTTTTCCAGTTTTGTTGTCTATACATTTCATTTTATATTTTCAGTACATATACTAACAACAATATTAGGTTATACTTTCGTTGCTAAGCAACAGGACATAAAAGCCATTGTTGGAATGTAGTGTTATCAAAACACACTGGGTTTTCTATATATTAGAAGTTGTTAATCTAACTGATTTTTACCAATAATTATTCTATGAATATGCCAGGAATCCATTTCATGAATGATCATAATTTTAATTGGCTCACAAAAGATGTTCGACTACCTCGACTGCACTTTTCTGCCTCTCTGTTAGTCAAGCTTGATTTCACAAAATTTATTTATTTCAGTTAGCTATGAAATGTGAGGTTAGGGCATACTATGGTGTGGGGGTGGTAGTACTTGCCCTGTCATTTTTGAAGGGCTATACGCTAGTATATCTTAAAATACAATTCATTCTTTTTTCTATTCTAGCATTTTCCAAACTTTCTATTACAGGTATCACAGATATCTTTATCAGTCAGAGCATTAGCCTTTAAAAGTCATTATCATACAGCATTCAATTTACACTTAATAACTTGATTAAAACCAGGCTCATCAGGTTTCTATCTTCTAAATGTATCAAACACAAATTGTTTACCAAGAATACACTCTTAAAGTGTAAAATTTCAAATTAAATCATTTCTAATAATCAAAAACTAATTAAAACTGACATTTATAGCTAAGTGTACCAAACCTTACAGAAGATTTAGTCTTAAAACTAGTTTATAATGTGTTACATTCACCTTGAAGAAGGACGTTTTTTCTGATCCCTTTTAGAAGAAGAATGCTTTGGTGACACTGAAGATGAGGAAGATGAACTTGATGATGATGATGAACTAGAATGAGACCTTGACCGTGACCCTCCACTACTGCTGGAACTAGAGGAGCTTTCACTACTGGAAGTTGAACTCCCACTAGATGAAGACCTTGATTTGCTTGGTGAGCTGAAACAATAATATTGTTTATTCTACTGATATTCAATTTCATACATTAAAATTTTAAAAGCCATCATTTTTATTGCATTAGGCAGCTGTTTCTTTTGAAAATATCTCACTCACAAACTATGAGTAAATGTACAAAATTTGTAACTGCTTAAACATGTAATAATTTTGGAATTCATGATAAAATTTAATTACTTAGAAATGAAATATGTCAAGCTTCAAGAGTTTTATTTTGTAAAAAAAAAAACAATCTCGATTCACAAATTTGAAACATTGAGCTATGATGCTAGACATATCCAAAATACATTCGAGCCCTTTTTAAAAAGTAAATGGAACATAAAAAACACTTAGGATCTTATTGATAAAATACAAATGAACTAAGAAATTCATAAAAAACTATAACCACAACTAGAAAGACCTAGCAAATGGTAAGCATAGGACACCATATATTGTAATATAAATTATTCAGATAAAAATGCAACACCTCAGCAATAAAATGAAATGACACCCTTGAGCTAACAACTCCCTGATTCATGACAAGAAATAGATCTAATTTCTCCGTTTCCCACTTATTCCACCCCTTCTGCATAATTTTGCACACAATTTTCATCTACATAAAATAACTAGGTATATTCAAATATTAAGGACCCTCTGTCATCATACACATTGGCAGGCTATTCATCATCATCTATTACGAAGTTAATACTTCTATTTGGCCTTTATTTTAATAGTTGCTAACCAGATGTTAACATACTTTCTCCTTTAAAAATAGGAAAATCCAGTAAATCGATAGTCATGTACTTAACGATATGCAAAATGCACCAACAGGGGCCAAGATGGGAGAAACATACATAAACAATTATCAACTGAAGACTACAAACCACATGCGATTGGAAATTTCAAAATCAAGGCAATTATGACAATAACGTAGAATACATAATTGTTTGTAACAGATATCTAACATTCCATCGCTTTCTACAGCACCACATAGCAGTGAATTACCTCTTTGGTACCATTTACCTCAAAGGTAAAGAGCACAACAAACTTTGAGACGTGTTAAAAAAATTGTACAAGTTGTACGGGTAGAGAGAAGGGTTAAATTATAACAGAAGTAAGTATCTCTTTGAGCTTCATTTTAATTCTGAAACATTAATTTAAAATATGATCCTCGACTTTCATTATAACTTTGAACTAGCATTAAAGTTGGGCAATTAACTTGATTAAACAATTACCTATGAGCATCAATTAGTGTCCTATAAAATAATCACTTAATTGAAATTATGATTTAATCAATTAATGTAAAAAATAATCAATTAATCAAATATTTCCATTTATTACTGTTTTACATTATTTCAAATGATCCCAACAATTAATCAACCATCAAATTAGCCCAGCTCCAGCTCCATACCCATGTTAAAAAAGAGAGAAGGGAATGAGAAATGCATGTTATTCATGGGAAAGGAGAAACTTGCTGTGCTGCTATTACCTGAGGAAGCAGAACATTAGAGGTGACCTGTAGCTTATCTTAAAATGCAGTTGCAGGGAAAATGATGATGGCCTCACATGCTCTAGTGAGAGTTAAGCCAAAATGTTTGGAATTGGTAATTAACAAACATGTATTTTTTTAGTGTTTTTTATGGTACATATCCATAAACTAATTGTTTTGTTTCCAATTTCTTCTCAATCCTGTTTAAATTTATATCTTATTGTTCTTATTTTTGCACTTCAAGGATAGTTTGAATTGCTAAACAAATGTTAGTAGGGTCTTTCATACTTTAAACTTTCTCATTTACTTGTGTGAGTAACAAATATTAATATAACAAAATGACTGGTAGTAGACCTACGACAATTGGCTTAAATCATACAATATCCCCCATGGCTCCAATTCCTCACTAAGAATTTCTGGATTATGCTTATTCTATAGTCTTTTAGTAGCAAAAATAAAATCAAAAAAATTATAAAGCTGAAAATGATGGTCCCACACAAATAAAGAAGGCTTTCATATAAAGCAAGTATAACTATACTGAATTCATAAGAACTGGTAGTTTTTTCTGTGATATTTTTACAGAACAATGGATGGGACCTTAAAGGTTGTTATAGTAGACCTAGGTTGTTTTGAAATGACTTCAAGGAGAAAGCATTAGTGTGATAATTGTCCAAACTTTAAGGACACATTTTAAGCATTAAAAACACTGAAACATATAAATTCCTCAATCCAATTTTGAGACAGATTCCCCAAACTGTAACATAATACCTAAATCAAAAGGCTGTAAGCAGTTTCAGAGACCCTCATTGAATATTACTATTGAGGGGTTCTTAAGCTCATTCTTAAGCTTAACATATTTTCCCATACTTCCACTTCAAAGTCCTTCACACTCCAGTTAATCTATTGATGTTATTCAAGATTTGATATAATTTGAATCTGACTTCACCTTATTCTGACAGTTTTTTTGTTTTTTTTACTTATTGTCCATATTTAAATGTTTTGCTATTAGTGTATTATCAGGTAAAGTATGTATTTTCAATCCAAGTTATGCTCATTTTATTTGGCAAACTCAATAATGTATGTAAGCAAACCGATGTTATTCAACAGTTAAAACAGGCTTACAACTTATGGAGATGCAAAAGTGTAAATTTTTTGTTGATTTGAAATTGGCCTAGTTTAGTAATCATAAAACCTTATTTGCTCCTTATCTTCAGCTCCACTAATTATTATTATTAAGTTTTCAGTTGTGATAATGACAACATATTGTCAAAAATGCTGAGCAATACTAAACAAGTACTCAGGTTTTCTAGTATGTTATTTTATTCCATCTAGTGGTAGATTGTATATATATTCCACTGCATAGCAAGGATGCATGAATTTATAAATGACAAATGACTGCTTAGACATAAAGTAAAATAACTTTGATATCAATTGAAATATATATCTAATCTGTATTTGTGAACAAATCCTGTCCACAAAAGAAATTAGCTTATTTTTACCATATTGTAATTGTCTGTTGTATCATACTACCACCACAACTAGTGTCTTGGACACAACAGACTTCAAAGATTTGAGGATAATAAGCTTATTCATTTCATTTACATGTACTATTAATATAAAAACTGTTAAGTTCATCAACCTTAAAAAAATTTATTTCTTAAAGAAGCAAAAAAAAATTGTTTGTAATCCTACAAAATCATGTTTATCTAGAACTTTTAGTAAACATTAAACAATGTCAGAACAAAACTATTATTATGTATCAGCTCGTTTGTTAATATCCGGTATAAATTCTTTCCGAGGAACTTCAGCAATACAAGTCTTTCTTAATT